TGTTCAGCACTTATAGAAACTGAGAAAGAAGATACAACAAAAAATCCAGAAAACATGCCCAAAATAGTTGTACCTACTGTTCCTCAAATAGCAGAGACAAGTAACAAGTCAAAGAGAAAAAGAAAAACACAATGCTAGCCAATCTTCTTCTCAAACAAAGAAAAGATGATGACAGCGACTTGTCATTTGGATTCACAAGTGACAGAAATGAAGATTGTTCTGAAGCACAATGCGTACTTTGCAATAAAATATTGCCAAACAGTTCATTAGCACCTGCTAAATTACGTCGTCATTTTAAGCAAAACCACGCAGAGTACAAAGATAAAGACATTGACTTTTTCAAGCGAAAGCTAAAGAAGTATCAGAAGAGTAAACAATTTATGAGCAAAAAATTTCAAAATGCTAATGAAAAGGCCATAGAGTCTTCTTACAGAGTGAGTTACCGCATAGCACTTGCAGGAGAAGCACACACAACTGGGGAATCACTAATAAAGCCATGTGCAAAAGAAATAGTGTCATGTATTTTAAGTGAGAAGTTGAGTAAAAAAATTGAAGCTGTGCCACATTCCAACAACACAGTTTTTTGCCATATTCATGATCTTGCTGATGACTTCTATACTCAACTAATTTCTCGACTGCATCAATGTGATGGGTACTCACTGCAATTAAACGGGTCCACAGATGTTGCAGGACTTTTAATTTTGTTGGTTTTTCGTTAGATATAATTTGACAAACAAATTGAAGAAGACTTGCTTCTGTGTGAAACCTCGAAAACTCATACCACTGGTGAGAACATTTTTACCTGTATCCAGAAGTTCATGAACACACACAGTATAAAGTGGGACAAATGTGTAGATATGTGCAGTTATGGTGCCAAAGCAATGGTTGGGAAAGTGGCAGGCGCTGTGACAATAAGAAATGAAGCAAAAAAACAGCACCAGTTCTCACTGTGTTCTTCACAGACATGCACTGGTAGCTGAAAATATTTCAGTCTCAATTAAAACTGTGCTAGACTAATCGGTCCAGATTATTAAATTTTATAAAACGGTGACCATTACAGTAACAACTATTTAAAATAATATGTGAAGATATGGGTAGTCACCACTCTGCTTTGCTTTCGCATTCAGAAGTCAGTTGGCTATCACGTGGTAAAGTCCTTGTTAGAATGTTTGAATTGCGTTGTTGTTTGCATATTTTCAGGATAAAAAAATGTGGATATCTGATCAATTATCAAACACTTTGCGGTTATCCAAAGTAGCATATCTTGCAGACATATTCACAAAATTAAATGACATATGTTTATCAATCCAAGGAAAAAACACTAATATTTTTAATGCAAGAGATAAAATATTTTCACAGTCTTGTAAGCTGCAGTTTTGGACCTCATCTGTTAAGCAAAATAACGTGAACTCTTTTCCAACACTTAAGGATTTTCTTGAAGAATCAGAAATTGAACTTGAAGATGAAATTCGCAAAGAAATTGTAGATCATCTTCGCTATTTAATCACATCTATTAATCAGTATTTTTCATTCTTGAATAAAAACAATGAGTGGGTTCGAAATCCATTCATAAAAGACAAGCCAGACACTTTTTCTGATGTAGATTTTGAGAATCTGATCGATATAACTTCTGACAAAAATTTTAAGAAGTTTCTCTTATTGCTTTTTAGGGTGAATTACGCGAAGAGAACCCAGAATTGTCCAAACGGGCAATCAAAGTTCTGTTGCCATTTGCCAGCACTTACTTATGTGAAACTGGATTCTCTTTACTCTGCAGCAAAAACAAAGTATCGAAATTGACTTGACGCAACTGCAGATATGCAAATACAATTGTCAACGATTAAACCAGATATAAAACGAATTTGCCTGCAAAATAGAACATTACTAGAGCATACACCCTATTTATATATCACCAAGTAAATCCTTAAGGCTTATAACTTCCTTCCATCTCCCCTCCACTCCTCTCCTCTCTTTTTCCCCCTTTCTTCCTTTCTCGTTTTCTTTCCCCCTAAACTATAGAATCACATGAGAAATGTTTCTCATTTCTCATTTTTTTTCTTTTCAATTCAAATAGTTAACTGTTAACTAAACAAGGAAAAAAATATATATAATTAAGTAATTGTACTGTTGTTACTATTAACTATTTTTTTTTGTTTTGTTTGTACTCTTTAAGTACATTTGATGTATGTATCTCCATATACAATTTGTCTTGTATGTATTCAATATAAATGTCCTGCATATAATGATGTAAAAATGTAAAACCTTTAATAAAAAAATCAGAAAGATATTATAACCAAAATACAAACTGACACAAGACCCCAACTTAAATCACAACGTAAGTTAACTCATGGTAAATTATAAGGACCACTAAAGTTACCCAGGCCAGTTTATCTCAATTGTGAAGTGGGCCTGTAGGTTTAACCCTGCAATGTAAAACAGTGCAGTTTTTTTTTACAGAGAGTGGGCTAAATCTTTACCCAGGGGCTATCAGACTAACAACCACTAGAGGCATATCCTGGTTCATTTGACTTCAGCCCTATAAGAAAACTATGGTTCAAAGCTTTCCTATAGGAGAAAATTTGGGTTGTGCATGG